GCTCCGCGGCACCTGGCGACATATCTGCAAGTCGCAGGCGGGCCGACGTGTGGAAACAACAGAGGCCGGTTGCCATCAGGTTCCTCACCGCCGCTCGCCTGCCTCACGGCACCTGGCGACATGTTTGCAAGTCACAGACGGGCCAACCTGTGGAAAAAAGAGAGGCCGGTTGCCATCATTCTCCTCATCGCGGCTAGCCTGCTGGCCAGCCCACATACTCTGACCGGCCACAAGGATTGCTGAATTCAGCTCTGAAGAAAGACAGCCCAGCAAGCCTCTAAACCTAAAACCCTAAAACCACAGACCCTAAAACCCTTAACCCTAAATCCCCAACCCCAAAGCCCTAAACCCTAGACCCTATAACTCCTTAGAGATCAGGGCTTCGGGGCCAGCACATCTAATATAAACATGGGAGTTATTGAGTTTAGGGTTGAGAGTTTTGGGGTTTAAGGTTTTTAGGGCTTAGGGTTTTTAGGGGTTTAAGGTTTAGGGTTTTAGGGGACACAACCCGAAACCATATACCCGGCCCAGGCTACTGGCAGCAAACAGCCTTGCATGCGTTGCTCCCAGTAGTACTTCCCAGGTTTAAGGGCTGGGGCTTAGGGTTTAGGGTCTAAGGTAGGGTTTAGGATTGGGTTTGGGGGCATCATGGCCTTTGCACCTGCTTACTGCTACACACCCTGACATGAAGGATCGAAGAATGGCATCTACTGAGAACTCCAAGACAAGTCCCTAAACCCTAAACCCGAAACCCTAAATTCTATTACCGCTACCCATCCTGCAAGGAGTTAGGGCTTAGGTTGGGTACTGCCCCCACTCAGTAACAGTTGGCTGGCCAGCACCGCACCATATATTCAGAAAACCCCGCTCCAAAACCTAGCCAAGCCCTTATACTACTTCAATCTGCTTAGGTTCGTTCCCTCCCTGATCCCTGACCCCTATAGACGCCTATGCCTATAACCCCCTGTAAAGGGACTCAGTTATCAGTACCTGGACCCCACAAGTATGTAAAGTAATGGCCTTTTGGGCTGTCTGAAAAGCTTTATCAATTTACCTACGTCTGGGGCCCAGGTACTTACTAAGCCCCATGAACCTCCACGAAATGCGAGGCCGCAACTTTTTTGCCGCCGAGCGGACATGGCAACTCCTGACTGCCTCTGAGCTGCTGGCTTCCTAAACCCTAAACCGGGTTTAGGGTCTAGGGTCAGCCCGACACCTAGAATGGGGATCACAAGGGACTGTTGCAGGGAGATTCAGGCCCAGCTTACTCCACATCTAAACCCTAAGCCCTAAACCGTAAACCCTAAACCCTCAGGGTTATAACCATAGAGGATTGACCTAACCTAAGCCAGATGGAGTTGCTGGGACCCAGGGATTCCCTAAACCGCTAAGCCCCAAGATTTGCCTGAAACACCCTGAGCGTTTGCTCCTATGTAGATTGTTAGAGTTTAGGGTTGAGAGTTGGGTCTGTGATGTTTTTGAATTTAAGTAAGGAAGCATAATAAACTACGGAAGATGGAACAACATAGGAGGTTGTGAGTAACACTACTGCGGATGGAGGAAGTCTGGCACCACCCTGGAATGCTAGGTGGTGCAAGATTTCCTCCACCCTAAACCCTCTTATCTAGCCCCCCTAAACCATAAAGAATAAGCCCTAAGACTCTAGACCCTCAACCCTAGACCCTCACCCAACCCTAAATCCTAAACCTAAAAACCTGCGGTGGTTCACAGTATCTAACTGGAGTGGCCACCCGGTACTGAGCTTTTTGGGGGTATGCTGTACGGATCATACAGTCATGGAAGGATGTCTTGCTATGTGTCTTGGGGTACATGAAGAGTATTGTAGTCACGTAAGGGTTGACTAGAATAGTGTTTTTGGGTGGGCAAATCATGAGTAGTACAGCCCTGCAAGGATTGTGAGGGACTAACGTTAGCATTCAAGTGAGTTATACTCTAAACGCCTAGTATCCCGATCAGCAAGGCCCATTATAGGAACCCTATGGAGTCCCCCTATATAACCCCCTTTCAGGAATTGAGACCCCAAATCCTAAACCCTATAGAAATCCTTATATAACGCCCTTTAAGGAATTTAGACCCTAAACCCTAAACCCTAAACCCTAATTCCCTTTAAGGAGTTTAGACCCTAAACCCTAAACCCGAAATAATCCCCCTATATAGCCCCCTTTAAGGAGTTGAGACTATAGCTCAGACAACCAAGGTTAGGCTCCTGGGTTTAGGATTTAGGGTTTAGGGTATCCCTGTTAATAACCCCTACACTACTCTCCTATGTAATCCCTTACAACCCCCCCTCCCCCGTTTAAAGAGTTTAGATCCTAAATCCCAAACCCTATACAATCCCCTATACAACCCCTTAAGGAGTTCAGACCCTAAACCCTAAAACCTAAACCCTATATAATGCCCTATAAAACCCCTTTTCAAAAGTTTAGACTATGGCTTACTTCAGATGGACGCAACCTCTCAGCGGTCTCTGAGGTCACAGGGCAACTTATCAGTACAACACCACATGTTCCTGCACGGGAACCCTAAACCCTTAAACCTATGACCCTAAACCCTAATACCAATCCGAAAAGATGTCCCTAGGTTTGCTGAGGACCGCCTTTTTGAGAAAAACCTTGCAGATGAGTAGTGCGGTTACATGATCGCCCTTCTAGTTTACATCGTAGGTTTTGGGGTTAGGGTTTAGGTTTTAGGGTACAGTCTTTGGAACACGAAAATACACATCCCTGTCGAACAGAAGTCAGCTGAGTGTGCGCCAGCATGAATGCCCAAGCACGCTAGAAACAATTAGATCCTCATTTGGGACCAGTGTTTTTCAGCGCATATCCACCTCTTTCACGCGGACTATAATCTAAACTCCTCAAATCCCCCTCAATAACCTCTATCGTAGTTCCCTATAATCCCCGAGACAAACCCCCTTTAAGGAGTTTAGACTATGACTCATGTGAGGCCGAGGCATCCGTCAGAGGATTCTGAATTCAACGAAGAAACTTCCCGCTGCTGAGGACGTTCAGCCGGCGGCCAATAACTAGAGCAACCAGGCATACATAGATGTGCTATACTCTAAACTCCTAGTATGCCCCTTAATAATGGAGAATCAAATGGAAAAGAAAATGGAAAATGAAATGGAAACTGCTATATATAGGGTTATGTAGGGGATTATAAGGGTTATAGTCTAAACTTCTAGTATCCCCCCTTAATAAGCCCTATACTACTCCCCTATATACCCCACCATATAACCCCTTTAAAGAGCTTAGACTATAGCTCACATAGATGGGGGTGTCAATTAATGCAACTCAGAAAGGCCAAGCTGGAAGGAGATTAGAAAGCCCTGAGAAACACAGGGTTTAGGGTTTAGGGTTTAGGGTTTAGGGGTTTAGGGTTCAGGGCTTTTTTCCCTAACATTGATCCAGTGAAGCTGCGTGTCGGATAGGATCTGTTGATGCCATTGTGGGATTACTTGGAAGGTCATGGGGACTTAGGAAGTAGGTTAGAAATGGGGATAATTGGTGTTATTAGATGGCTTATAGGGTTTATTGACCTACTTACGAAGCCCCCATGACCCTCCAAGTAGTCGTGCTAGTGATTTGCATCAAACAATCTGTCACTGTAGCAACTACTTGCTGGTTCTTAGCGGCGAAGAAGGGAAGATATTACCTTTTTCATGCCTATGCAATACATTCCCATATTCCCTACTAAGCCCAGGTACAACCATAGACAGAACTGGCAATTCGCACCAACTCCCTATTTTTCAGTGGGAATCTACTGCAATCAGTTCATTAAGTATTACGCAATTACAGTCAAAAAGCTCAATCTCCCTTTTAACTTAAATCACTTAGCAGCGAATAGGGGAGCATAATTCATAGGGGTTATATAGGGATCATATTCGCTTACTCCCTACTAAGACTACCGGTGCATTGTCAGCATCAACTGCTAAAGGATGGGAGGTTTCTGATTCGGGGACACATTAGGAATGAGGAGGGAACTCTCGGTGTACAGTGCCTAGGAAATCGGCCCGCGACCTCCCGCCATCACGAGATCTCTTCGATGCATCTAGTAGCAACCAGGGTCCTTGTCATAAGTTCCCAGCATTTGGGCCATTAACCATGTTGGAGTCTGACTATGGCATTTTTAATGTGGACCTCTTTGCCCATGGAGGCCCTACTTTCGACAAAGTCGCATGCACAAGGTCCTGGATTTCAATAACGAGGCTTCCCTGCAGTCTGAAACCCGACGACAACATGCCCATTCCTCTGACTTTTGTTCATTGCTGCTGCCTTTGAACTATGCTCTGATTGGTTTCGAACTATGGGGGGCTGCCTCAACTCTGCTTGTGGCGTATGCACCCGATTCCCTCACAGCTCAAGCGTCACCAGTGATCCAAACGGCAACATGTTGAAGGTGGCACTTCCGGTAGGCTCGCCAACGTGACAAAGCTCGTGCGCGAGGTCAGTACGACCTTGCGACTGCAAGGCCATGTTCAGGAAGTCAGGTGCTCGCATTTCTTGGGCCAGAATGACTGCTGTCTTGCTGCGGGTGTTTTGGATGTCCAGGTCGGCCCTGGCCACAACAAGGAAAGCGGCAACATCGAAAAGGCCTGCCACAATACTGACCATCAGTGGCGTGGCCCCAAGGCTGTTCACTGCCACTGAGGTGCAGACTGTGGGCCGCCATAAGTGCTTTACCCGCATAAACGAGTTCAGCATCCACAAAGCTGAGGCAGTCTTTGGGAAGAAGCGCTCGTTGATGTCTGCGCGAGCCTGCAGCAGCGTGGCGACAGACTCCACGGTGGCCTTTTGAAAAGCGATCATGAGGTACAGCATGAGCTTTAGGCTGGGGGGTGGCGCGTGGGCCAACAAAACCTTCATGGTTTGCACTGAGCCCATGGCACAGGCGGTGGAGAAGGGGGTGAGGGACAAGCAGGATTTGACGGTTTTGAGGCTCTGGTCAGCGCCTTGGGCGCAAAGCATTCGAGCAGCTTCCGCATTGTTGGCGCCGCAGGCCGCATGAAGGGGCCCAGAGCAGATCACATCCTTGGCGTCCACATGGGCGTGCTTCGCGATCAGCAATCTCAAGCAGTCATTGTGGCCGTTGAATGCGCAGAGAGCCAACAGGGAAGTGTTACGGCTGATGCCGAACTTGTGGCAACCCTTCCTGGGTTGCTGTTAAGGAACTTGATTTGAGTTATCATAATGGGTATACATAGTAAATAATGAGGTTTCCCCAATTCATAACTTCAACTAAGTTCCTTAAATCCCTGTATTTGCCCAGTTTCCATTGCATTTTCCAATTGATTCTCCTTTATAGGAAGATGATATACCCTAAACCCTAAACCCTATAATAACTTCAATTAAGTTCCTTAACAGCAACCCAGCTTCCGAACCCGGTCATTCGGGTCAGCTCGGTGCCGCAGCAAGGCCTCCAGGAGATCTGGGTCTCCGCGCACGGCCGCATAGCACGCAGGCGAGAAGCCCCAGGCATCGCGATCCGCTGCATGGCCTGGGTGCATTATCCCCCTATAATGGAGAATCCAATTGAAAATGAAATGGAAACTAGGGGATGTTCCCCCAATATAGTGACTTAAATTGAGTTCCTTAACAGCAACCCAGTGGCTGAAGCCCATCTGGTGCAGGAACCTTGCAAGCTCCAGGTTTCCCGACACATTCGCTGCCATTGATGCATCAAATCCGGGGATGATGTCATTGAAGAAATCAATGGACAGATTCCGGAAGATTCGGACCTGGATAGGGGTAATATAAGGGATCATGGAAAAGAAAATGGAAGCTACTATGATGTATAGATGAAGAAAATGGAAGCTACTACATTATATGTGTCACTGGGCGGATTTCGGAAGATTCGGACCTGGTCGCTGAACAGGAATCGGTAGCTAACATAGTCCCCCTTCCGCAGGCAATACAGCAACTTGTTCTTGACCAAGATTCGAACAATCCTGGGTTGCTGTTCAGGAACTTAGATTGAATTACCAGAACGGGTATAGAAAGTAAGTAAGAGGGTTCCCCCAATGTAGTAATCCAATTAAATTAAGTTACCAGAATGGGTGTATATATATATATTATATAGTACATAGCAGGCTTTCCCCAATTGAATAACTTAACTTGAATTCCTTACATCCCTATATTCCCCCCCATTTTCCATCTCCATTATAGGGGGATAATATACCCTAAACCCTAAACCCCAAACCCCAAACCCTAAAAACTAAACCCTCAAACCCCAAACCCTAGACCCTAAACCCTAAACCCCAAACCCTAAACCCTAAACCCCACTATAGCAACTATTCCTCAACAGCAATCCAGACTCCCAGCAACCTTCTCTCGGTCGGTTTCAAAGCTGAAGATCCCCACGCCTGGGGAGGCCCTCTCCAAGGTGGGTACCAGCGTGATGTGCCTGACGGTTCTAGGGGTTTAGTGTTTTTAGGGTTTAGTGGTTTGGGGTTTCGGGGTTTTAAGGGGTTTAGGGATTTTAGGGGTTTAGGGTTTAGATGTTCCATGTTTTTTCACAATGTGTATGTCATGGTTCTCATTGTCCCCATCAAAACCACATTGCTGTTTGTCTCTGTAGCATGTAACATCCTCTGCATTTCGGTGGCGTCTGTAGTTCATTGCATGTGGGGGGGTCCGAAAATTAAGCGCTCGCTTTGTGGAGAGGGTCCCTGAAATGATGAGTATAGTACTGAGAGATGTTTAAGGGGGACTCATACTTTTGCAAACTGCCATGTAATGGTCTATTCCACTTAGGTTTCTGCGCTGTCACAGGTTTTGCCGCTTAAGTTGTGGGGGTGTCATGTGGCAGTGTCCAAAAATGGGAGGACCCCAACATAGATCCCAGAATTCTATAATCCCCATTACTGAAACCCCCAAAATGGTACCACCTATTTTCGGAAACCCTAAGTTCTTAATCCCCAAACCCTTAACCCTAATTCCGAGTCCTTAAACCCTAAACCCTAAGCCCTTAACCCTAAACCCTAAACCCCAAACCCTAAACCCTAAACCCCAAACCCTAAGCCCTTAACCCTAATCCCCAAGTGGTCTGCTCAGGGTTTTGGGGGTTCCTGGCACGGTCTACCTGGTAGTCTTGAGGCGTCGCAGCCTTTTTGTTTAATGAAGGTATTTTTAGGTGGACCCCCCACCCAGTAATAGTGACTATAGGGGATAATAGGGATCATATTAGGGTCCTCTTATTCTTATTATACCACTATTACAGGGTGGGGGGTCCTCCTAAGGTATTCTATAGTTACCCAACCCATGTAATAAGGACCCGAGAACTATGACATCCTTACAACATCTTACAATAGGGTACTAATTTTACACTAAACCCTAAATCCTAAACCCTAAACCCCTAAACCCTAAACCGGGTACTAATTTTAAGGGTTGGGGAAACTTAAAATAAACTCCCCGCTTATTGCTGTGGACAGCGTGGTCGCTTTAGAGGCGTCATGACCTGGTTTGCTGAGGGATTTTGGATCAGGGTTTAGGGTTTAGGGTTTAGGGTTTAGGGTTTTAGGGGTTTAGGGTTTAGGGTTTAGGGTTTTTGGATCTGCTTGAGGGTTTGACACGTAACAAATTGTTTGTTGATTCTAGGCATTGTCTAAAGTGCATATATGTTTCAACCACGTTTTCCGAACACGCTTCGTAATATCCACACCTTTTTTTTTAATGAGAACGCCTTCAACATCTCGGTCCGCCGGCACCCTGGCGACACACCCTATCTTGCCCCCCTAAACCCTGAAGTCCTAAACCCTAAAGCCCTACACCCTAAACCCTGAACCCTTACGCCACGTCTCTTTGCCTGGAGCTTTCCACCCGCATCATGAGGTTGTCACGTGCCTTACTGGCTGTGGGTAGGGAATGGAGGCGCAGATATTTGGGTTATATTGGGATTATAAAGCTAGTATATTGGGATTATAAGGTTTTTATATCGGGGTTATATTGGGATTGTAAGGTTATTATATTGGGGTTATATTGGGATTATATTATTCCTCTAGTGGCCCTAGATACTACCATGTAGTATAGGAATTTGGCTTGTCCTTCCATTACCGAAACTCGAATACTCATATCATAAAACCCTAAACCCTAAACCCTAAACCCGAATCCCCAACATGATAGTTTCCCTCCTGTTTTCCATCCTTTCATTCCCTACTCACAAGAAGAAATCTAACTTTGTGCCATAAATAAATTCTTATAAACCCCACTTTCCATTTCAGCTGCTATTAGCTTCCAATTTGATTATTCGTCATTATTGTAAACCCTAAGCTCTATACGATCCTAAAAATCCTTACATCTCAAAAACAAATATGCCCAGATATCCTAAGCCCGAAACCCTGAACCCTAAACCCTTCCTCCATTCCCTACTAACCACGCCTAAGTTGCTGGACACATCTCGCGCGCCAGACTCTCTGCACGACACCATGCCCTCTGACCCCAGCTCTTGTAATTCAAGATCCGGTCCTTGAAAACAGCAAGACTTCAATTGGATGATGCGAGGATTTAAGGTTTGACTTGGACTATAGTCTAGACCCCTAATGAATAAAGCCCCTCCTTTTAAGGGCCTGAATATTAGGATCCCCATTATAATCCCTATTAAGGGGCCGGAGTTTATTAATCAGGGGCCTACATTATGTTTTCAATGTTTATTCTAATGGATGCTTTGTTACTGTCTGGTTTAGGTTGGGTATTCATTCCCCGACCTAGCAACCAACAGGGTGTAGGGGGCAGGACGACCAGATCCTATCCTACCTGGCCTGGATGTTTATGGGTAACGACAACTGGGTCGAACGATGAAGGAAGCATGGATACAACTATAGTTGCAGCCCTACTTGGGGTATGTACAACCCCACTCACAACTACCCATGAACCTCTAAGTATCCAGCACCCGCACATGTTCTTGAGGAACTCCGCTGAAGCTTAAACCCTGGAATCCTGAACCCTGAACCTTGTCCAGTCCTCTCCTACCCTCACAGCTGGGGAGAGAATAACGAAGAGCTCACAGCGCTGGACATACCTTGCTTGCTGGTTGCTCTTTGTTGTTCTTTTTCCGGTGAAGGGTTTATGTAAGGGTTTTTGAGATCGGTCCAAAGAGCTATTAAGTGATAACATTGCTGAAAAACCCACCAAGATACATTGGGATGCTGTCGATGGCGAGCTGAAGACGCTCCTACAGTTCGGGAGTTTTTAGCGTTGGAGATGACCTATAGGTATAGTCCCCCTTAAGTAGATAGAATATGGCTTTGGGTCTATTATAATGAGATCCCTGTATACCCCATATGCTATCTACTTAAGAGGACTAGAGGTATATGCAAAGCAAAATTGAGGCGCCAGGTACCCAGATCATGGGTTTTTTGCCCCACCATATTTGGATGCTCTTTGGCACCCAAAACCGCAATATTTGCCTACCTGGACCCTTCGCTAAACCCGTGGGAGTCAAAACGAATGAAAATGGAAAAGCCTTCCAAAAGATGATCGAGTTTCTGGGGTCTGGGAAAGGTCCGTGGACGCGCCGTGCTGAGGGCAAGAGAAGAAGTCATACCAGAGGTATAGCGGCTTTTTACAGATGTCGGAAGTGGAGTAGCCTTAGGGTTATGTTGGGGTTAAAAAAAGAGAATGGACAAGAAAATGGAAGCTATTTACGGTTTAGGGTTTAGGGGTTATAGTCCCCTTAAGTAGATAGAATGTGGCTTTGGGTATATTTTAACGGAACCATTGTTTTGCGTATAGCTAAACCAATGGGGTTCCGATTTGAAGTGGTGCGGCAAGGGGGTCCTGTTTCTCCTTTGCGGACCCTCTAGTCTCCATGAGAAACACTACTGAACGAGTCATTTTTGCGCGTAAACTTCGCGCCCACCCTCGTCTAGAGCGGGCTAGGCACTGGATCATATTTGACCTATAGTCTCAACTCCTAATATCTCCCTTAATAACTCCTGTAATACTCCTTATATAACCCCTTATATAACCTCCTTGAAGGAGTTTAGGCTATAGCTCATTCGCCACCGAAGTAGGCTTTGTAGCCCTCATGAAAGGTAAAAGCACCAGAAATTTACGGGGACTGAAGGTACCCTAAACCCTAAGCCACTAAACCCTAAACCCCTAAACCCCCCAAACCCCTAAACCCTTAAACCCCTAAACCCCATACCCCAAACCCCTGAACCCCGAAACCCTAAACCTTCCCCGACCCAGAGTTGGGATTCTGAAAGGAGAGCTTGGGGGAACCTAGGGAGGGTAGGGTTTAGGGTTTAAGGTTTAGGGTTTAGGGTTTAGGGTTTAGGGTTTAAGGTTTAGGGTTTAGGGGTTTAGGGTTTAGGGTTTAAGGTAGTATAGGGTGTAATTTAGACCCCTTACTCATAAACCCCCATCCCTAATAGGGATTATCATAGGGATCCTACTACTAAGGCCCTTAAAAAGAGGGAGGTTTATACATTGGGTTTTAGGAGCTGGGAAACCCAGACCAAAAAATCCAAGTCAACCTTCCCGGCAGTCACACCGGATTGAAAGTCAAAACTTTGAAGCTTCACAAGGGAACACGCCGTAGGGTTCAACAAAAACATACAATCCAACTGATGCCTGTAGAGCCCCTATACGAGCAACGGAGGTCGCATGATTTCCGATACAGTTCCGGCCTATTTCTAGGGCACCCCTCCGAGGAGGTTGAGAAGCCTAAACC